CGGTCGTCACAGGAAGTGATCAAAGAAATCAAAAATTTAAACTTTTCTCTTTTTGAATAAGACTTGCATCATATAATTGTATCTTTTTCACAGTTACGATATGTGTTAGTCCCACCGGAAACAAAAAGGACAACTTCCGGTTATAAGAGAAAAACAACATAGTAGGGGTTTTGAATTTTCCCCCAACATATCGCTTATAGAGAGAGTTCTTTAAATGATTTTTATGTATGTTATTGAGACTGCAGATGTCTAGATTGACGTCAAACATCTTAGTAAAATTCACTTCCGGTTGCGTATTTTCCTGCCCTCAAATTGAGATTTTATTCACCTAATTGCTCAGCACAAGTAAACGACTGAAATCCAAAACTTTCAGGACTGATAGTCAGTCACCAGTTTTTCTACATCATGTGAAAATCGTACATTGCCGTCAGTTTCCGGCGTGACCGGAAGCGATGCAAACAAGGTGAATTTTCCAAGTTTTTTTTTCTTTTTACAGAAATGTTTGGCTAATGCAGATGTTAGATAGACTAAAACCATGCAAATTATTTTCACTGGAAGTGCCGGCCGAAAAATCGGAACATGAGTAATTTTTCATGAAAACTTTTAGGGATGATCAGTTGTGAATAATTTAGGTGTAGAATGAACATTTTATTTGTTTTGAGTAATTTCTTTGACCAAAAGGTCAGAATCAATAATTAATTTACTCCTCTTTCCCCCCTTCCCTTCCCAAAAAATCAAAAAAAAAAAAAAAAAAAAAAAAAAAAAAAAAAAAATCAGATTAATATCAGCCTAGAATATTTTTCTAGAACTCATACAACACCTCGGATCGACATAACATTTCGAGGTATTGCAGAAGATATCTGAAAGAAAGTTTCCTGAAAATTTGACGGTGAATCTCTGAAGTGTATAGAAATTATGAATGTTTACGGCAAACACTACATCTTTTTTCGTATCTGAAATTTAGATGCCGATGAACATAAAAATTAATTAAAGCTTTTCTCGGTTATTTCTTCAGTTGTTATGAATAGCAGTCGATTCTCTTGATATGATATGATATTTTAACACCAAGCATTCTTGCTTTCTCTAGTATGTGGAATTTATTTCAATTTTATTTAGAATTAATATTAATCGAATGAATGTCGAAAACAGCGATTTTTTCCTAGCAAATAAATTTTCACGCTCTCATTGACACATTTTTCTTTCTAAAATCCCTATCTGAAATTTTAATTTATGCTACTTACATTTAATTCAATCCACACAGAGATGCTTATTTTAATCTTACCTATTATTTTAGGATATTCAGTCACATCCGAACCCGATCCGAAATTTTTCTATATTTGTAAACAAAGTCTCGACACTGCAGTTCTAATGCATCATAGGCTCTGAATGATTAACTCAATGCATTCCAAATATAGACCATCTCAAATGATTTTTTAAACCGAAAATCTGCAATTGTATTATACACCAATCGTGTTTCTCAATCTATTCAATACTGATCACTACATTCCATAACAAACAAGAGAACACGTGCTTTTATTCCTATTTATTCTTAAACAATTAATTTACTACCTCTATCTTCATCAGAATACGTGGTCTAGTGGTTAGCGCGCCTGCCTTACAAACCAAAGGTTTTGAGTTCGATCCCTGCTGGAAGGACATTTTTTTTCATTTTCAGCTTTTTTTTCAAACCAGTTGACAAAAGAGTCAAGAAAACGGAAGACCTGTTATTGCCTAGGCAATAAGTATCTAGTTATTATTATTATTCTTTTTTTTTTAGACAAAATTTTGTGCACGCGATTTCTCGAAAACTATTCAATGAATTTCTTTGAAATTTTCAGGGATAAAAGGTCTTTATATGAATTTTATATAAAATTCCGTTTTTTGGTAAATTCGGTTCCAGTGCCAAGTTATGGGCAATTTCCTGATTTTAAAATGAAATTTTGTCCTCGAAGGATCTAAGAAACGGCTAAAGATATGAACTGGAGACTTGTTAGAGATGATAGACCATGACTTCTAGATGTTCGAAATTACTTTGGTTTTCGTCGTCAGTACTTCCGGTCGTCACCGGAAGTGTTCAAAGAAATCGAAAATTTCAACTTTTCTTTTTTTAATCAAATCTTGCATCACATTATTGCAACTCTTTCGCAGTTTCGAAATATGTTGGTCCCACCGGAAACAAAAACGACAACTTCCGGTTATAAGAGAAAAACTACATAATTTGAGTATTTTACTTTCCCATAAATATCTTTTATAGGTAAAGTATTTGAAATTATTTTTAGATATGTTATTCAGATTGCAAATGTCTAGAGTTACGTCCAATATCTTTGCAAAATTCACTTCCGGTCGCGTGTTTTTCTGTCCTCAAAATGAGAAAACATCTGAGCGAGATCTCAGAAACGGTAAGAGATTAAGACAACAAACTTATATGAGTAATAGTCCTTGAAGAGTAGGCAAAATCCTTTGGGTTAAACTGTCAGCCGTCACTTCCGGTCGTCACAGGAAGTGATCAAAGAAATCCAAAAATTCAACTTTTCTTGTTTAAATTAAAACTTGCATCACCTTATTGCATCTTTTTCGCTGTTTTGAAATATGTTAGACTCCTCCGGAAACAAAAACGTCAACTTCCGGTTTTAGGAGATAAAATACGTTATTTCGATATTTAACTTTCTCATAAATATCGCTTATAGAAAAGGAATTGAAATGTTTAAATACATGTTGTAGATATTGCAAATGTCTGGAGACACGTTGGAGATTTTTTTTTATAAGATTCACTTCCGGTCGCGTGTTTTCCTGTCCTCAAAATTAGAATTTCTTCTCACAATTGCTCGGCAACAATAAACGACTGAAGTCTGAAAATTTCAGGACTGATAGTCCGTCATCAGTTTATTTGCATCGTATGAAAATCGTGTGTCGCCGTTACTTCCGGTGGTGACAGGAAGTGATGCAAAAAAGTGAATGGTTAATGGTTAGCACGTTGGATTTTCACTCTGACGACGAGGGTTCAATCTCCAGAGTGTCTCAATTTCTTTTATCACTTTTTCAGCTTGAATTTTCGTTTTTATTTTCAGAATCGGACGGAAGACCTCTCATTGCTCGCAATGAGTTTCTAGTTATTATTATTATCATCATTGTTATAACTTCTTTTTTTTTGGGGGGGGGGGGGGGGGGGTTACACATGAGCGATTCTCTGAATCGCGCAATTGTCGGATGCTTAAAAAATAGTAACTTTCAGCTAACAGTAATTTCATATAATGACTATTGGTATTAGTTCATGATTATTTATATTTGTAATTCGTTTTGAAAACAACATATATTTCTGGGAATTTTTTTCTTTTTGATGCAGACTAGACTAGGCAGAATTGCTGCTTCTTATTTATTTTGTTTATTTGCTTGGTAAAAAAAAATATTAACGTCTATATTACATCAGATTCCAGCAAATTGGTTCGCATTTACAATTCTTTTTTTCTGTCTGACTCTGAGAAGGGGATCCCCCCCCCCCCCCCCGCACCCATCGTTTCAGAAACTGGTGACGACCCTGCGAGTTGATACACTTTCATCATTGTCTTTATGATTCATCATTTTTTTTTTACTCATTTTGTTATAGACCATCATAAAGTTTTTCTTGTCAACAATACCAATAGATTACATGGGACACACAAATTTCTACTAATTTTTTTTCATAAACACGTTCATATTACATAAACTGTTTTATTCTCTGAAAAAAGAAAATCTAGAATAAACCTTGATGCTACTTAGTATCAGGGAATTGAGAAAAGGTTGCATTTCATTTTCGGAATTTTTTAAAATATCGAACTTTTCATTTCCGACATTTTGTAGTTTTCATTTCCGACATTTTAAAATTTCATCTCCGATATTTATCACATCTTACCTTTCAGGCAGTGAAAATAGAACTGTAGACTCCCTCATATAAATTGTTAAAGAATAAATCAAGAATATATCATAATCATTGATACAAAAATAATCAGGAATACTTGGTTTATTAAAAAGCTTATTCGGTACGATGATTTTACGTGTTTACCCACAGGCACATGTAAGTGTTGTGAACTTTTGCTCATCCTTTTCAATTCAAGATACATGTATCAGAGACATAAATAACAGAATATTATAATGTCTCTGCATGTATTCAGTTTGAGATCGGATAGGTTAAGATGGAAATGATAAGACATGCAGAAACTAGTCGAGGGAATAAAGCAAAATCGTTGAGGGAATTCTGATTTTCGGTGCTTTCCCTGACATATAGTTCAGTGGACATTAAATCTGGGGAACAAGAATTGCATGCTCATTTAACTTATGCAAAACTTTTATCTAGACTTATGGTTGCATGTATATACAGTGTATCGTATTGTTTTTATTAAGAAAATGTGGCTTGAAATAAATGTAATATTTATATCCTGTTAAAATTCTATTTCCACCTACTTCGTTAGACAATTGATATTTCAATTCGCGTAACCTTAGATTAGGAGACTTTAAATATGGCAAATACCAGCTCAGACTTGTCCCTGACCTGCAGGAATCATTTTTTGTACGAGCTGTTTAATAATGTTTTAAGATGCTTGCGGTACAATTTGTTCCTAGTTCGAGAAAGTGTTTGGTCACAGGGTCTTGAGACAATCTTAGCAAAATCGGGTATATAGTACTATGTACCCGATTTTGCTAAGATTGTCTCGATGTGACCGTGTAATATAGATGAACACAGTTGTATAAGGGTTCGATTCTTTATTGGAACCCGTTTCACAGGAATAAAGTATAAACAATCAATCAATCAATCAATCAATCAATAATTTTGCTCTCAAAACCCTTACAGGAACCAGTGATCAGGATACTGTGTAAGTACTGTATCTTCTCCTTTGTGTTCCAAGGATCCTTAGTACTTTTACCTCTTTGGACAGATTGTACATATTCACCACTCCTCATCCAGGATGGCTGTGTTTTCTGTCGAGTACTTCTCCTGACTTGCTGTTCTTCTTCATCCTCCTCCACTAGTGTTTCTTCAGATTCTCAGCAGCATCTGATACTTGACTATTGTCACCCTGTGACATCTCTCTTAACTGGTCAGTCATAGGTTGCTGATGTTCAGTTTCTTCGTCTGAATCTTCAGCATGTTGAGCTTCCCCAACTTCTATACCTAACTGACTTTCTTCCTCGTCATTAACATCATGTGGGATGTCTTGACTAAATCTTGGTACCGGTACCTCATTATCTGACTCTTCCTTAAATTTACTATCACTAGTGGTCTCTTGTACTCGTTCTGGTCGATGATTCCTCTTACTATTGTTTGTTGATTCAGCAGCAGTTATATCTGGCTTTGTCCTTCTGGATTCTCTAAAGCTATCCAGATGACCTATGGGAAGTAGAAGGTTCCTGTGTAAAGTTCTCTTCCTTCCCTCACCACTCTCCTTCCTGACAACATACACTGGTATTGTGGGATTTAGTTGTCTCAGTACTATGTAAATCTCCTCCTCCCATCTGTCCGCTATTTTATGTTTGCCATCAAAACTGATCATCTTCACTAAAACCCTATCTCCTTCTTTGACGTTGTTTCCTCTTGTCACTTCTTTTTGTTTAGAACGAACTGCTGTTGCTGATGACGTTGCAATTTCATAAGCTTTCTTCATTTTGTGGCGAAGGTCTTCTATGTATTTGGACAATGTTTTCTGTTGCGTGTTGTTAATACTAAAAGCCAAGTCCACTGGAAGCCGTGGTTCCCGTCCAAACATGAGGTAGTAAGGTGACTGATTGGTACTCTCATGGCGTGTGCAATTGTATGCATGGACTAACGGTGCAACATGTGGCTTCCAGTTAGATTTCTGGTGTGGCTCCAATGTTCCTAGCATGTCCAACAATGTCCTATTAAAGCGTTCTGTCATCCCGTTTCCCATTGCATGATATGGAGTTGTTCTAGATTTCTTAATGCCGGTGATGTTACACAGTTCCTTTATGATTTTGCTTTCAAAGTTTGCTCCTTGGTCACTGTGGATTCTTGATGGTATGCCATAGTAAGCTATAAAGTTATTAAATAGGGCTTCAGCTGTTGTTCTTGCTGTCATATTGCGAGTTGGTATGGCTTGCACGAATCTGGTGAAGTGGTCAGTGACCACTAAAATATGCTGGAAACCTCCTTTTTGAATGTTCTAATGTTAAGAGGTCCATACAGACTAGTTCTAGAGGATATGTTGGTTTTATCCCTGTCAGAGGTGCACATTGGTTTGTTGGTGTCTTCCTGGATACACATCTTTGGCAATTCTTGATCCAGTTCTCGGTATCTTTAAATATTCCGTTCCAATAAAACTGTCTCTAATCAAAGATAGTGTCCTTTCCCTTCCTGGATGGCCAAATTTGTTGTATAGGCAGTCTAAAACACTGTTAATATAGAACCTTGGTAAAACTAGCAGATTCCTTTCTTCTCCTGAGACTTTGGTTTTTCTGTATAATACTCCATCTTCTATAAATAAGTTCTTGAAATTTTTCCTCAATACATATGATTCCTCGTTTGGTGTTATTTGGTGTTGTTTTGGTTTCCTTCCACTTTTCACAAAGTATTTCCATTTCTTCAGTAACTCATCTGCATTCTGTCTTCGTTTCCAGTCAATTTTGGTGCTGTCTGATATTTCTGATTCACTGGCGGTCTGTTGAAAAAGACTGGTATCTATAGCTATACTTTCCACTAATCCTTGTGTGTATGTTGAATTTTAGATGGCTTTGATTGAATCCTGATCTATCTGTACATCCTCTGGAACTATGCTTAATCCGTCCGCATCCTTGTTATTCCTATCAGGTCTGTAAATGATGTTTAAATTATAGTTTTTCAACTCTGCTAACCATCTATGTCCGGTGGCATCCAACATTGCGGTACGTAAGAGGATTGTTATCCGTATACACTGTAAATGAATTTCCGTAGAGATAGTCCTTGAATTTCTCAGTTACTGCCCACTTAAGGGCCAGAAATTCCATCTTGTGGGCAGGGTAATTGCTCTCTGATCTGGTTAATCCTCTGTTTGCATAACTGATGACTCTCTTTTTCCCTTCTTGTGTCTGATATAGAATAGCTCCAAGTCCTTGAATAATGGCATCTGTGTGTAATTCGAATGGGATGGAATAATCTGGAAATCCTGGTATTGGTGGTTCTGCCAGAGCTGTTTTTGGGTATTGGCATAAGGATGGTCAATGGTATTGCTATTCTGCTGAAGTTTTGGATAAAACGCCTATAATAACCAATAAATATCAGGAATCTTCCTACTTCTTCTGGTGATTTAGGTGTGGGCCAATTCCTAACTCTCTCCGTTTTCTCAGGATCTGTTTCTATTCCATTCTTGGAGACTTTATGCCCAACATATTTTACTCGTTCCATCAGAAAGTTGCACTTCTTTGGGGATAACTTCAGTCCGGCTGCTCTTAATCTGTCAAATACTAGTTGTTATATTTTCATATGTTCCTTGTAAGTTTTTGAGAAAATTATAATGTCGTCCAGGGAGATGAAATATATCTTAAGGTGTAGGTCGCCAAGACATTCTTCCATTAGTCTCTGATATGTCGCAGGACTATTCGACAATCCGAAGGGCATCCTATTATACTCGTAGAACCGAAGAGCTCTCACAGTAAATGCGGTGCGCTCCTTGTGTTCCTCTTTGATGTCCACCTGATGATAGCCTGACTTTGCGTCTAAGACTGTAAAATATCCATTCTCACTCAAATTCTCCAAGATTTCCTCTATGATAGGTAGTGCGTACACGTCCTTCTTTGTCCTGTTGTTGAGTTGCCTATAATCGACACACATCTGAAGCTCATTGTTTTTCTTCCTGCATAGAACGACATTGCTTGAGAATGGTGACTTGGACTTCCTTATAATTTCAGCATCTAATAGTTGTTGTAAGTGATCCTTAACTTCTTGGTACAAAGATGGAGGAAAACGTCTTGGTCTTTGTTTAAAAGGTGTTTCATCCAGTAAGTCAATATACCGTCTTTTTCCAAACGGGGGGAGTATGTGGCAGAGTGGTTTTGATTAAATAAATAATTAATAAAGAATATTTATTTATCATCTCCAATGTGTTTTATAGTTATCATTCATCATTATAATCATTGCACTTTTGCATATATGTATTTCACTTTGCATATTACTAATCCTGGCTGGCTGACCTTGTCGACCTTTGACATTACGTTGTAAGTAGTTTTATTGGCCAAGGGTTTGGGCGGTAAGTTTTCTATTGTTCGGTATTGTGTGCGGGGGTACTCACTTCTCTCGCACGGACAGTCAACGTTACGGCTGTGAGACGATTTTGTTTCGACTGGTTACCAAACTTACCATATTGCAACATTTGTGTTTTGCTACAAGACATCCATTAATATTATACAGACCACATTCAGTAAGTTTTATCTACTTTTATCTTTCTATCTTTACGTAATACAATTTCTTTGGTTGAAAGAGAGAACGAGTGAAGTTTTGAAATAAAGTTCATTGTCTCTTGTAAAGTATTATTATCAGTAATCATAATGATTGTAAGCAATGCTAGATATAGATGTTGTAATTTGAAAGTACAGTTTTATTATTTTTATGTTCAGCTATATTGTCTTGAGATTACCGCTGAACCTGTGATTGTTGTTTTATATAGGATCAGTATACATGTAAATACTAAGTATGTGAACCATCATCTTGTCAGCCTTATTCCATAAATTTGTACGCTATAGAAATTATTACTTTTTTTACGTTTTTAATATACTTTGAAAAATTATTCAAACTTACGGAAATTTCTATCTGAACACGATTTTGGTAATTCTGTAATTTGTAAGAGTTATTTCCCTTTTTACGCGTTCATGAATTTGGAACATTTACAATCAGTTAAATCTATTTTTAGTAAAATCCGTGTGGATATATGAGGACTGCCTATAACTGAATATGTTGTTTGATGCCTTATACTTAATGTATTTTATTTTTTATAGGGCTGATTGATTGATTGATAGATTCATTCATTCATTCATTGAGTGTTTATACTTTATTCCTGTGGAACGGGATCCAATAAAGAATCGAACCTTTATACAACCGTATTCATCTATATTACACGGTCACATTAAGACCCTGTGTGTTTGGCTATCCATCTCAGTTGCTTGAACTTCTGCAACAGGGTTACAGTATCCGGTCTGACAGATCTTCAAGAAGTCATTCATAGTTGTTTCGCGTTAGCAAATTAACATAACATAAAACAATGTTTTCTCGTTTATACCACGTTTTCAATATGAATTAAGTTTTTAAATGGTTCTATAAATATGTATCCAACAATAATGGCGACAGATTTATCAATATTAGATAATTTATACCTATGCATGACGACTTACCCTAAAGGGTAAGGGAAAAAGAAAGTAAGCCTAGAGTATCGGAAAATACAGATGGTTTTCCCGGAAAACTATTAATCATTTGCTTAAGATTTTGAGAAAGACGGGGAATAGAAAAGGTTTTATCAGAAAATGTCCGGGGAAAGGTTTGTAATATTTTAATCTCATGTGTGATAAAAGTAAGAATGTTTAAACCATGCTAACACTGAGCAGATCAGATAAAAGTCACTAGAAACTTCAAAATAGCACTAAATGCAAAATTTACTTCATGACTTAATGGTTTTCCCAGAAAACTCCTATTAATCATTTGCTTAAGCTTTTGAGAAAGACGGGGAATAGAATATATTTTTATCAGAAAATGTCAGAGGGAAGGTTTGTAATATTTTAATCCCATGTGTGATAAAAAGTAAGAATGTTTAAACAATGCTAACACTGAACAGATCAGATAAAAGTCACTAGAAACTTCAAAATAGCACTAAATGCAAAATTTACTTCATGACTTAATGGTTTTCACAGAAAACTCCTATTAATCATTTGCTTAAGCTTTTGAGAAAGACGGGGAATAGAATATATTTTTATCAGAAAATGTCAGGGGGAAGGTTTGTAATATTTTAATCCCATGTGTGATAAAAAGTAAGAATGTTTAAACCATGCTAACACTGAACAGATCATTAAAAGTCACTGGAAAGTTCTCCAAAGTAGCACTAAATGCAAAATTTACTTAATGATTACTATAAGGTACATCAAATGTTACTGATATTTGAAAGGTTGATCTAAGTCATTTTTATTTAACAGTTTAATAACCATTGAGAAGTACATTTTACTTAGTAAACATGTAATATAAATGGTCACCTCTGACAGACCACTGAATTCATGGTCATAGAAAGGTCACTTAAAGGTTATATTGAATACAGTAAGTCTACTGAAATAAGTCTCATAAAGTTCATACATTGAATGATCTATAAGGTTTTTATCATAGAATGGGTAAAAACTCTTACTAATTCTTCCTTTTACTGTCAGTATGAGTGTGATATTTTTTTGGAATTAGAGACACAAATAAGCCATTTTTTGTCAAAGGGTAAAGTTATTATTTTGGGAGATATGAATGCCAGAACCTCCACTAAAGATGATTATATTACGGATGATGTACTCCAAAATGATATACTCAGGAATGTAGCCAAAATATTGACCTATGAAGTGGACTCATCATTACCTATACGTGTAAACCCAGATAAAGTAATTAATGACTTTGGAACAAAATTACTTTCTTGGTGCAAATCAAGTGGATTACGAATACTTAATGGACGTCATAAGTTTGCAATGGACAGAGGTTTTACTTTTATGGGAACAAGAGGCATGAGGGCCGTTGACTATTGTATTTCAACCCCTGACGTGTTTGAGGTAATTGATAAATTTATTGAGTCAAATTTCACAACTTTCTCTGATCATGCCCCATTACACCTCCAATTTAAATTAATTTCTAGTAAAACGGAAAAGCAGCAAAAATCTTATACTAATTGTAAGGGCCGGTACACACGGTAAGGCTTGCCTTATAAGTCATGGAACTTAAGTTCTAGCCTTACTGTGTGTACACCCTTAATACACGTTTTTTCAAGCCTTGCAAGTCTGACTTACGAATAGAGCACTGCTCTATTTCTTAATACATGACTTAGCTGACATGTTCCTCTCAACCAATGAAATCCACTCACCCAAAGAAGATGGG